ATTGAATTTTCAAAAATTTTTATCAGTAGCATATTCTTATATCTATATAAGGTATTAATTTGCTATGCATATCATATGAAAAATGATCTATGGTATCCTCTACCCTTAATATAAAAATTTTATAATACTATGATTACTCATCTTGAGTATTATTAGAATATATGAGAATAACCCTTATTACTTCTTTCATTTTTGCTTCATCCTAATTATTGTTATGAAAAATTTGCACCTATAGCAAATCTTAACTATGTTAGTTTAGAACAATAGATTATTTACTATTACTCTGTTTGGTTTAGTCAAACACCTACTTCAATCTTATATAAACTTGATATATATCGCAGAAAAAAATATTTTTTTAATACTGCTGCATTTAATAATTTTAAAAATGATATACTTGGTTATTGGAAATTTGTTTCTTCAAACTCTTAATCCAAATTAGCAAAATTCGCTTGTCATATATTTGCTATTGCAGTTAACACTGCATCTGTTGAATGATTATTTAGTTCTATAGAGTTTCTTTATTCTCCAAGAAGAAGCCGATTAAATAATGACAAGGTTCTTTCAATATATCAGCTATAAGGAGAATTACATCATACTTATATCAGTTAAATAGACTTAACAAAGTTGAAGAAAAATACAAAGAATTTATAACAACTAAATCTACAAAAACAACTGAATCTATTCAAAATTATTTGCAAGAAACAGTGGATAATTTAGACTCTGAAAGTAAGAATGATGAAAGTGATAATGATGATATAGAAGATGAAGAAAGTATGTGTAAAATTATTAATAAATGGATAAAAATGCTAAATAATGAAGAAACAGAAGACTGTAAACTCAACGATATTGAAGAAATAAAAAATAATCACTCTCTAGATGATTTACTTGCTCAAATTCATCTATGCCAGGATCTAAATGTGAAATGGTTATTAGAAAGGTTGTTTGATTCTGGGCTCGAATCTTCATTTAGTATAAATTTGATCCTAATTCTTTTTTTTTAATCTATTAATTTTTTTATTAATATACTATAGAACTATCATAATTAAATATATATAATTGATATTTGTTGTTAACAGAAACTAGATACAAAAAAGATAAATTTAAAGCATTTATTATTTTTAAAAATCAGCAAAAATATGACATATTAAAGAATTTATATTATATAGTAAATTCAATTTTTTTTCATATTATATAGAATTTATTTTATATAATTATATATTTTAAATTTATTTTTAATAAAAGAAATTAGAGTCTGACTAAAAGAATAGATGCCAAATAAGTAAAGAAAGTGCCTAAATGTAATGCAAGTAGCAAAATTAATTTTTTAACCTAAATTTAAATCTCCAACATATAAATACTATTATTTCCTTACATCACTTCTTATTCAAAAAATCATACATTTTGTTCATGGTCCATTGTCTAGAATAAAGTAAAAACCAAAATAAGTAGAAATAAAAAATTAGAATAATTAGCAATAAAAATAGACTTATAAGTAGTTGTAAAAATTCATTTAAACAAAACTTGAGATATTTAACTCATCACTCTTGCAAAATATCTTCAACAATCTGGATAATCCTAGGTAATTTTAAGCTTATTATACCTGTTATTAGTGAACTTTGAAGTTATCATATTAGATTAAATACATATTATTTTTTGACATAAGCTATAATGTTTTTTTTTCTTATCTTGATAGCTTTATATAACTAAAGTCACTTGTACTAAATACTTCTATGCCTCCAGCAATTTTCTTACCAGCTGGGCAAAATTCTCAAATTAAATTCAGTATTAAGTCTCAAATTCTAAAATATATTGAACATCGATTCTATATACATAGATTTGTTTATTGTTCATTAACCCCTTAATAAACAATAAACAAGCTCCTCAATGAACAATTGTTTATTTGTTTAGCCTATCGGAATTGACAATACTGGTACTAATCGATAGTTACAAGACAATGTGTAATCTTCAAATTTTTGTATAATAGTAATTCTTTTTATCTAGAAAAAGACTATTCTAGAATTGATTTGTCGCAAAAACAATGGTAATTTTATTTTTTTTTTAAAAAAAATTTATTTAACAAAATATTCAAAAAATTATTATATAAAATCTTTATCAAATATGTGGCATCAGAATTTATTGGATCTATAAAGCTTTAAAATACAGTTTTCTCATAAAGTAAAAGCACTGACTAGTGTAAATTCAGTTTCATAGAAGTGTTTAGAATTTTTCAAATTGCAAATCTTTCACCAAAAAAGAGATTTATATCAAAATTTAAATTTATTTTTATATATTGTAGTTTTAAGTTAAACTAAAAAATTGATGATAAAAGGTATATATATTTCTAAACAAAATTTTTAAAAAATTTTAGTTTATGTAAAAGAAAAAAAATGAGTCTATCTAAAAAAGAGTGCAAAAATTAGAATCTAAAAAGTATAATGTAATTAAAAGATTAGAAAATTTAGACAAGTTATTAATTGAACTTGATAAATTTAAAAGACATATCAAATTTGAAAAATATAAGAAAGCAGCTGATATTGGTAATGCTAACAGAGTATTTCAGGTTGAAAATTGTTATAAAAATGGATACAAAGTTAAAAAAAATAATGTTATAGCATTTGAATATTATAAGAAAGCAGCAGAAATGGGACATGTTGGTGAAATATACTCAATGTTAGATTTAAATAGAATTGGTGTTGAGAAGGATGATAAACAAGCATTTGTTCATTATAAGAAGTTAGCAGATATGGGGAACACTAGTAGAGCATATAATGTTGGATGTTGTTATCAACATAGAATTGGAGTTGAAAAAGATGAACATAAGGTATTCATTTATTATCAAAAATTGGCAGTGATGAGTAATTCTAATGTAGGGATGGCAGATGATTTAAATTATTTTATTATAAATTACTGATGTTTGATTTAAATCATTTTAAAGCTGATTTAAATCATTTATTACATAATCAATATAATCGAAAGACTACATAGTTGTTGTTATAATTAATTTTATGATTTAATAATTTAATATAAAAATTTTCAAATGTAAAGTGATTTAACATTTAATACAAACAATGCTATGTGAAAGACCTCCTTTCAAAGACATTCATTCTCAATTTATAAAAATTGTAGACACAGATAAACCTGGCCAAAAAACCCTTGTCTAATGTGTATCCACTGTGAAGAGAATATCATTGATATAATTGATCGTTTAAAGGATCATTTGATGAAATGTAAAAATCTTTTGCAAGATATAAAAGATTCTTTGAATTTTACTACTATGAAAGATCAAAGAATACAGCATATGCAACATTCTGATTTGGCAAGTTCAGCTGCTGCTAAACGATGTTGGTTAAATTTCAGATTCATTCATAATAAATATCGTATACATTTGGACAATGATCGAGTAAAGAAGCTTGTAAATGTTTACCAGAATTTGAGAATATTGGCGAGGATATTTGGTTTGAAGATAGCGAAGATTAATGTTTAGAAACAAAATTATATCAATATAAATCATAATAATATAATGTAATAAAATCATGTACTTAATGTTTTTTTATAAATCGCAATGAGGTAATAAAAACCAATGCTTAATAATTGTGCAATAAAAATCAATGATTTAAATCAAGAGTAAATCATTTTTAAATCACGAAGTTTGATTTAAATCATGATTTTTAC